AAAAAAGGGAAGGGAAGGGAAGGGAAGGGAAGGGAAGGGAAGGGAAGGGGACACAATTGGAAATAAGACCACAAAGCAGCTGATCTGAAGGAAATCCAGCTTTTCCTTTTGTAACCACATGGCATTCTTTAAGTTTCTATATTAATAAAATGGCACAGAGCTCCCATAACTATTTTTTAAAGTAAAAATAAATATTTTACACCATGCAGAACTCCCCCAATTTCAGCAGCAGTCAGAGATGCTTAATCCATCTGCGCTCAGCGAGCCCACTTGAAAAGCAAGGAGAACAGGGCGTCTGCAACAGCAAACCCCTCACATATGTCATCTAGTAATGCTTGTCAGTGTAAAAATCCACTTTGCATTGATTTACGTGTCAGCAAGCGCCATCAGAAGCTGCAGAAGGAGCCCTGTGCCTTCGATTGCCAAAGAAAGCCCTAATGACATGAGAACCTTGGTCATCCCGTCATTAACTTCTGAGCTGAACTGGAGGATGGAAACTTTCACCCCACGGTGCTTCCTGCTTTTATGCAGGGATTTAGGGAACTGCTGAGCTCTGCATTTTTCTCAGAGGATCCCAAGTGACAGACATGCTCTAAACTTGAAGCACTTTGCTTTAAAGAACTTTCTGTCTGCAGCATGTGTAATTTAATTGGTGCCAGATGAAAATGCAGTTTGTTAAAACAAATGTAGAGGGGAGAAGTCCACGTGTATTATGTCCCACATCCCTGCCTGGAAGACAGGAACCCTACACGAGCTAGTAAGAATAGAAGAGACATGAGACGTTTATTTTATCTGTAATACCAGTGGAATAAAAATTTTTAAAGTGTCTTATTGCTACAGATGAGACACTTGTTTCCACTCCCTTTCCATATAACCTGCCTTGACAAAAATCACCTGTGAACAGGGCTGATTCTTTCACCCATCACTCACAGGGACCCAGCAGGGTGTAAAGGTCTGTGTGAAGGAACTGCTTTTTAGGAACTTGGCATAAAGCTGAAAAAGGCCGGGAATTAAATGTTAGCTTCATTAAAACTCATGCTGAAATTCCCATGTAAACCTTAGAGCTAAGATTTCATCCCAGTGACAAAATACAGTTTTTCACTAAATTCATCCCTCTTCCAAACTGTTAGCAGTCTTTATTGCAGACTGCTGTCCAGCCCCAGAGTCACCCTTAGCACAAATTCATTCTCTACCATAAAAGCAAATTATGCCATTAATATATACTTAATTTCTTGCTGATAGAATTTGTGAAGGCGAGACAGACTTGCATGGCTCAACTCACAGGATGACTCTGCCCGTGGGACTGGTCCATAAATCCCAGTCCTGATCTAGACACTTGCCCAATTCTGTACCCTTTGCACTCTCAGTGCTGAGCACAGGTCAGTAGCAGTAGCAGCTCTGAATGCACTGAAGAAGTGAACAATAATATCAGTAATAACGGGCACAGCCTGCTGAGAACATCTTGGGAGAGAACATTGCCCTTAGGATGGTCCTTATTAAACGTCCCAAATACTAATGGCACTAAAAGGCAGTCACCTTAACGTGATTTAGCCCAGTGCTCTTACAAAACACCTTTCAGCTCAGCAAAACACCTGGTGCTCTTAAGATCTAGGGCACAGCCAAGGCTGTAGCGAGATCGTATCAATCTTTGTGAGCCTCAGATAAGCCTCAATGTATTTCCACTGTGCTTTAAAAGAAGGAAGAAAAAAAAAAGATTGCAGAGAGTGCACTGAGATTACCCTGCAGACAGGTCTGCTTGTCCCTTTCACAAACCACAGCAGCCCTAAGGACAGACCCCACTGCTCCCCATGGGCTTTGGGTCTCCTTAGGTGGAGCTCAGCCGTGGTGAGGGCAAAGACCCTGCAAAGCAGAGGCTGCCATGCACCACCCCGTGCTTTGGGAAGCACCTGCAGCCTGTGATGCTGCCCAAACACCGAAGTTCAGCGCTGACTTAAACACTTCACAAGCTCCAAGGTGTAAAGTGGTCTCCAAAAGAGACGTTCCCCAGGCGAGGTGACACCGTGGGACCTCTCCATCGCTTTGACTGCTGCTCTGTCCTTCCCAAACACACTGGCACAGAGAGGGGCATCCAGCAGGGCAGCCCAGCTCTCCCACTCTCCAACACAGAGGGCAAAGAGCCACGGTCACCCCGTTTCACGGCCAGCCTGGTCACAGCCACCCCGTTCCTTTCTGCTCAGCTTCTTGGTGCTTCACTCATGGCTGCACACTGTGAGTGCTTCTCCCACAGTTTTAACCTGATGAGCAGCCAAAGCTGAGGTAAAAAGGAAGGGTTCACAACACTCCTAAAGTGCCAAAAAAATGCTGAAAATTCAATATATGATTGCTTTTAGACACCACACCAAACCTGCACACCGTGTTCCCGCTACAGCCGTTCCCAGTCCTGACTTTCCACGTTTTAAAATTGTTACAATTTTGTCTATAAATTTTGTTATTAGGATCCATCTCTGGTAACTCTAGGTAATTTGTCTCCATCAACACTTCATTTTGAAGCCATTGCTTCTGTTTCACCTGAAGAAGAGCCTATCTGCTGAAATACCTGCCTGGTTTTTTTCCAGCAGTACCCGTACCCTAATAGAAGTTATTACCTGTATCTACAACCCTTCTCTTGGTTGTTAAGAAAAGATTCATGATCAAGAAGTGCAATGGGATTGCATAAACAGGACAAATCTCAAAGGAGAATGTTCCTGAACAAGGAACAGTGACAGAAAGGCTTTTTTGGGGGGGGAATGCAGAAGATGTATTTTAAAAAACAATCATCGGTCTTTTCTTCATCCCATTCCGCAAAATGTCAATGAAAAATCCCTTGGAACTTGGTGAATCCAAGTCTAAAAACAAACCCAGCAGACACTCAGCAGACCAAATCCTTGTCTTCTACAGAGCACTGGCAGGAGATACTTGAACCAGATTTGCTCCACCGTATGCTATTAAGTTTGGATTAAACAGTACTGGATCCAATGAAAATTACTATCTATAAAGGATAAATAAGGCTATGTCCTGGATGACAAAAATAAGAACTAAATCATGTTTCAGCTCACAACACTGCCAACTTACATGAGTTAAATACAAATTCCCAATCTTCTTTCCTCTTTGTGTCCAACAGGGAAGATTTACCTCTCTAGCTAGCACCATGCTTAGACATCATCAGTGGCACAGAAAAAGCAGAAAGAATGACCAGATCAGCATGATTTATGCTCCTAAATTAGACCAGGTTTAAAACTGGTGGGGATACATGCTTTTAAAGTATAATGTTCGAAAGCCTTCTGAGCTTTTCCAGTTTCTGGTGCCTCAAAGCATTACTGAGCTTTCACCAGGGAGGATGTGTGATTTAATTAGAGCACGATACAAAACCAAGGCATTCCCAAACCACGCTCCCAGCCCTGCTGCTGACATGCTGCATGACCTAGGGAAATCAGCTGTGATGCCCCAAGCCCCCGTTTACACCACAGTTTGATGAACAGGTTGAGAAAGCCTCTCTGTGTCCTCTTCCACAAGGAGCCGTGAAGTGTAATTAAATTCCACCCAACACTCCGAAATTGTCAGAGGGAAGGTGCTATATAAATGCCTATTAATTATGCCTGCATTTAATATTCTGGGAAATAAACGCACTATTGCGGGAAAGCAGCTCTTGGAGATGGTGCAGCTACAGGGCTTGACAGGGAGTGAGTGCCGAGCACAGAACTGACAGAGGCAACACGAGAGGGAGGAAGCCCCCCAAAAACGGCTCAATGCAAAGCTGGCATTTTAACACACAACATTTTAAAACAAATTCCAGCTCCTCATCCCACTCCTGCTCATGAGGAAAGTCCATGAATTCCCAATTCACTACCTGCCATCAAAACCCACTCCAAGCCAGCACACCAGACCCACACAGGTGTGACTGTGAGGTACATCCAGCACTGGTGCAATATGGAAAGGTGGAAAGGAACATTTTTCAGCATAACTTCACCACCCATTGGTGTCTTGATTAATATAAATGTGGTAACTCTTCTCAGTGCTCTGCTCAGCTTTCCCACTCCTGTCCCCAGGTGTACACTGGCACAGCGCTGCTTCTTCATGGCAGTGTCACCCTAAGCTTGGGCTGACCAAGGAGTTATCTTTCAGCAAACCCAAAACCGAGCTTTCCTACATTTGTGCAAACACTCAGTAGATACGTGCCAGTGCAAAAACTACATTAAAAAATGAATGTAACTAGCACAGGACTTGCCTAAAGCATCATCTACATCAGCACACCCAAAGAGACTGAGCTGCAAACACATCCTAACTTTAATGGAGCTGTGTACAGTGCTCCTGATCGGTGCTTTGCACTAGAAAGGGTGAAAAGGAATAACTGGATGCCACACAGTCCTGAACTAGCCCTGTAAATATTCACCTAACGCAGGAGCCGTAAATGACCAGCTGCAGACAGTTCTTTACCCATCTGCTCAGCCACAGGATTACCACCATCCAAACAAACCACAGTCACTCCCTCGCCGCTTTCCCGGCACCTTCGCCACAGACTTTAAAGTGTCACAAAATTGCAAAAAACTTTGAACCCCCTGAACGGAAACAGTTGCAAGTCCTAATTATCACAAAACTAACGAGCAAGGAAAAGGGGAAAAAAAAAAAAAATAATAAAAAAAAGACCCGATGAGCGGAGAGGATGACAATTTATTGTCTCATAAAAGAGAAAAAGGTTCAAATCGGCGGTAGCAATTGCGATGTGAGAAGTGCGGGGAGACAGGGTAAGGACCGCGAGGGGATGCTCCGGCGGGGAGCGGATCCCGTTCCTTGAAGGCACCGCTTTGGCACGGACCCACCGGCGCGGCGGCGGCGCCGGGGCGAGAAGCCGGAGGGACGGGCGGACGGGCGGACGGACGGACGGACGCGCGACGGGGGAATCTCTCACCGCTGGAGCGCCGGACGATGTTCTCCAGGAAGGTGTTCTGCGGTGCCA